CCCCAAAACCCCAAAACCCCAAAACCCCAAAACCCCGAGATTGGAGATAGAGATTGATAGTGTTTGGGTGGAGAACTTTTAGATAACGGATTTTGTTGAGTCGAAATTTTGGAGGAGTTCTTCAGATTGGCATTGTTCTTGGACTTCTTGGTATGAGATTCCGGTTGTTTGGATGTAGTTAGAGAATTCTCTGAATGTGCAGTCTTTTTGAGCACAACCGGGGAGTTTGAGCTGTTCGTCGTTGAACAAAATGCGGACATAAAAGCAGCTTCTTGAGACTCTGATATGACAAGCATTTGTATCAAATCTGCGAAGTTCGAAAATTAAAGTTGAAGCATATGGAACATGAGTTAGTTCAAATCCCTCTGGGTTTAAGAATCTCAGAATAAAAATTAACTGAGCATCGTGACTTGAAATCATCAGCATTTTAGAGTCTCCAAATCTAGAAATTAAATCTTCTTGGTAGTCCAATCCAATCTTCTTTTTCATTGTCTCTAAGATAGGAAGGATATGTCTCAAAGCAAGGAGCTGAGTGCCTTTATCAGAAAGTCTATTTGAAAGAGAAGGAACATGCATAGAAAGAACAATTTCCCATTCTTCTTCTGTAAAATTGAATCTGTTCTGAATACCCTCAAATTCTTCAGCAAATAAAATGTCGATAAGAGGGCCCATGTGAATAAAATGCAAATCTCCAGAATCTGCACCAAAGGCTTGAGCAATTTGTTTGAATATCAAGGGCCTGAATTTTTCATCAAGATCTGCCCAGAGCTCTTTTTGTTCGTTTCTTGTAAAGAATTCATTACTAATGAAAGGGCAATCTCCATATGCAACGAAAGTATCTACCTGTTGATCAAAATTGAACACAGGTATTGGTTGAGGGTTATCAAGAATAGGGTCTATTCCAAGTCTTTCTTGAACGTCTTTCAAGTTAAACACTTGAATAGGAGGCACAGCAACATCTGTTAGTTCAGAATTTAAAAATTCAGCAGAGTCAAGAGGGTACAAACCCAATAACTGAGCGTAAGCACTTTGAACTGTTCTTTTAGTCTGTGTTGATCTGACATAGATCTCATCAGGGTCATAGAACTGATTTAAGAACTGATCCTGGTTAGGATATCCTTGCACATACCTTCTTCTTAGCTCTGATCCAAGAAGAAACTGTTGTCTGAATCCAGAAGCAGTAAGCATTCCTTTTCCATTGATGAATTTATCATCCTCATAGAGTTCAGGAGATCTTGCCCCATGCCTGAAGATCTCTGCAATAAAATAAAGTTTGCCTGAGGCTGCAATAAGGAATGTCCAAAGTAGAAGTAAAACTCCTAATTTTACCATATTTATTTAATATTATCCGCACAATTGTTAAATCTTCAGCTGGGGTTTTGGGGTTTTGGGGTTTTGGGGTTTTGGGG